CATCACTCCACTAAATTCTTTTATTTTATAAATAAAATAAGTAATATATAAACTTCCTTAAATACAATATACACCAAAATAATATTACCTTACATATCATATTAATGAATTTACAACATACAAAACATCATAACGATCATATCATTAATATTTCAAAACATACATTATGACTATGTCTTTTCATATATTCTTACATCAATCAATATGTCATAATACATGTATTCTAATTATATTAATCAATGCATTACAATACATGCATTATAATCACACTCGTCAATGTATTACAATATTTGTATTATAATTACATCAATCAATCTATTACAACATACATATTATAATCACAAGATCACTATGTTGTAACATATATATCATAATTTCACATTCATTGTCCTAAGATTCCTAGAGATTTTTCATAAGTATATAAAGTCGTTGGCTAGTTAGATCAACATGGATATAATGTATCTACTCAACCCTTTCCAGTAAAGGTATATTCAAGAATTTAGTCGAGAAACTAATGTGTTTCAGCAATTCATGTGCATCCATTACGAACGAACAACATTCACCACCTCGTTTTTCTCATATTTCTTAAATCGTCTTTGAACTCTATACCCCCAATGCACCTCTATAACTATTCATATATAATCTCGTCAATTTTTCATGACACACCATTTTCTCAGCAATTCTCAAATATTCACACCAATTTCTTTCATCACTTTTCACTAATAATACATTTTTCTTCATCTCTTTCTGATCATTCAGTTATATAAAATGTGCTTAAGGTCACACACATCTAGACTTAGTCCAAGTTACATGTACATCATAAAATTTCATTTCATCATTTAAAAATAGTCAAACATTCTTCGTCAATCTTACACAAACAAACAAAATTCTTATTTAATTGTATATATATATACATGAGACAGGATCTTTTTACACTAGTGTAAATCTAAAAACTCTTATACTCGATCTGAGTCTTTCATTTAACTTATGTCTAACGAGTTATAATTTATTACTTTATTGACCGTTAAATGTAAGTTAAATGAATGACTCAGTTTGAGTATAAGAGTTTTTAGACTTATACTAGTGTGAGAAGATCCTTCCTCTATATATAAGACAAGAAACACACCATTATACAGATCAATACAATGCGCCGAAGGTTAGATACCTTTAGACTCAACTTAATTGATAGCATAAAATACACTAAAACTAAACCACATAACACAGATATATTGCCTGAAATCACACTCTCTTGGTCTTTATAAGAATCATCTATCCTAAAGTTTAACCTTTCTCACAACACACATATTATTCGAAATAATAATTCACAACATTAATTGTACCTACATAATAATTAATAGTAAAATCATAGAATTTATTAAAATGGTTTTATTTAGAGTTTTTAACTATGAAATTTTATTCAAGTAGTTATGGAATAAATTATAGATTTTTCATACCTAAAATATCATTCTTAACACTGTAATTTTAAGAAAACATTAGGACTCTATGATCTAACCAGGAAAAATTTGGGTTTTTAAGTCAAAATATATAAATAGAAGTTAGGGTATGTGATCATCTCCCCTTATCTAGATATAAGTCTCTCAAAATTAAAGAGATGAGAGACAATGTCTCTAAGGCTAAGTTCTCCTCAACATCCAAAAGAAGGTGCAATGTTTTGATGGAAGATATCATTCAAGTACCAAGATCTTCCTAAACATTATAAAGTGGAGTAACTTTTAGAAAAGAGAAAATGTTGAAATGAGAGCGAGATTAGAAGATTAAGCTCTAATAACTTACTTGGAATCAAGAAGAAAAAGATATCCAAACTCATATTCAAAAAAGGTTTAGAGAGTAACGAAGTTTTTTAGTTAGAGGAGGAAGTGAGAGAACAGATAGTGAGGTGAGAAATGATTATTTATTTTGAGAACTATGTTTTTAGAATGTTAGAATCACTTAACTACCCCTTTTTCTCGAGGATTTTCGCTTGAGCGAGAAAATAAGACAAAATTTGCTATTTTCACTTGATTGAAAATATATTAGAGAGCTACCCATTTCTGTTGCCTATTTTCACGACAGAATTCTTGCTTGAGCAAAATTATAGTTAAGAAATTCTAATCTATTTTCTCTTTTCGCTTGAATTAAAAGGAATTTTTTTTAATTTTTTTAGAAAACTCTTCCATTTAAAAAACAAATTCTAATCTATTTTCTCTTTTCGCTTGAATTAAAAGGATTTTTTTAAATTTTTTTTAGAAAACTCTTCCATTTAAAAAACAAGAAAATGCAAATTGAAAAATTTAGGGTGTTACAAAAACTAGCATGAATTATGAATTAAACTATTCATAAATTTTAAACATTTTTTTAGAAGATGTTGTGACTCCAAATGTTTAATTATTAGATTCTACGTTTTTGTGGATCATCACACATCTCTTAGAAACTAAAAAAATAAACGGTAGTCTTTAAATCATCTTTAGAAGCTAAATATAGAGCTTTAAATTCAGTTGTTTGTAAGATTCAATAGATTATCTCTTTAAAGAATTTAATAGTTTTAATACCTTTCTTTGCAATCTTTTATGTGATAATCAATCGGCCATTAACATAACTCACAATGATTCCTTTTCTATTAAATAACTAAACATATTGAACTAGATTGTCATATTATATGAGAAAAGTTTCTCTCTGAACTAATTCATCTTTTATAAGTATCCTCCTCTAGTAAGCTAGCTGAAACCCTTACCAAGCCTTTAGCTCATTCTATTTTTTACAATATTGTATACAAGTTGAGAATTATATATATATATATATATAGGGCAAGATCTTCTCACACTAGTGTAAGTCTAAAAACTCTTACACTCGATCTGAGTCTTTTATTTAACTTATATTTAACGGATTATAATTTATTATTTCACTGACTGTTAAATGTAAGTTAAATAAAAGACTCAAATTGAATGTAAAACTTTTTATACTTATACTAATGTAAAAAGATCTTTCTCCTGTATAATAATAATAATAATAATAATAATAATAGACAATAATTATATTTCTAATTTTGTTTTAAGTTACTTGGATTATTCGTTTTGTTGTACTTAGTTACTTTTTTATATTTATCTTTTCAATATTCAATCAATGTAATATGCTTTGTCTTTGTCTACCATCCTCAACTTTTTCTTCTCTTGTCTTACCAATAAAATACATTCATTGCTAATTTGATTGTAATATATTTTCTTTTAACAAAAGTTTAGAATCCATTGTCTTTTAGATATATCATTTTCATAAAAGCATAGTTTATTTTACTATAATATTTTTATTAAATATAAATTATATATTAAGAAATGAATATACCAAAGTAATATGTGTTTTATTAATACAAATTTTACAATAATTAAAAATATTAAAAAATAAAAATTAATATAGATATATACGTATATAAAAGTTTTAATTTGAAAACTAAAAAACTAATAATATAGTCATTTGTTAGAAATAAGATGAGAGGGAATACTAGACGACGTTATAATTTAATAATGATTTATACACAAATAAAGCTAATATTTTAATAAGTTAATAGTGGTCGGTGGAAGCGCGGGTTTCATTGCAAAGGGCGGAATCAAATGGTCAAGTCAAATAATGTAGAGTCAGTGACTCACTAAGCCTTCTTATTGAGTGAAACTGATTTCTATGCTCAGGAACAAAACAGAGAACATTAATGTTCTCACTAAAATGTCAACCATCAACAGCAACGCGGTGTCGTGCCAGTATCATTAGCACACCATACTGTGCCGACCCCACTCCAATGGCAAAAACTACGCTGACGTAGGGGTAGCCATTTTCGAATAATCTGACCAAATCTGCAGGGACGGTAACAAATGAAACTTGTGCATCGAGAAGGTTGCAGCGACCTCGGATGAATATTTTGAAAATTTTAACCAGACGTGACTCTCTAAGGAAAGAAAGTTTTGAGTATTCATATTTGTTTTGCCATAAAAAGAGTTTGAAGACCTGAAAATATGGAAGTGGTGAATTATTAAAGGGTAAAAGTGTTATTTCAAGTTCAAATGAACAACGATGCTTTGCATTATCGAGGTTGCTGAAAGATGTGATGTGACAAGAATTTTCTAGCCTTTAAAATAGTTTGTTTTTCTTGGCTGAGCAGGATTCAGTTTTTGGAACAGGCACTGTATTATGCGCGATCTCCCCATCTGGATTCACTGGAAATAAGATGTTACGTTTTATATTTTAAGTGAATTAATTTTATTTAAACTAAATTAATTTATTTAAATTAAAATTATATATAAAAATTAATATTCCATCTTCTTTCTTTATAAATTAAGATATTTTATTTATATTTAAGTATAATTTATATAAAATATTTTACTGGATATACACTTAAAATAAATAGTAATGTCGTTTATAGTTTGACACGTTACTTTAATTTTTTTCTTTTTTTTAAATTTTATATAAAAAATATTTTAACTACTTTTAAATAAAATTTATTTTAAATTATTATTTATTAATTTTTTATTTTAATATTTAAATTATTTTTTTAATTTTATATTTAACGTTAATTTTTATTAGTTAAATAGTAACATGACTTAATTATAAATTTTTTTAATAAAATATAATAAATAAAATTAGTGATTAAAAAATAAAAATTAATTAAATAATAAAATAAAAATTTAATAAATAATAACTTAAAATAAACTCTAGTTAAATCATATTTAAAAAGCATATTAGTTTTAAGTTAAGCTAGCGTTAGAGGGAGAGAATGATAAAAATTTTAAATATATAAAAAAAAAATTTGCGACTTTAGAAGAATCAAATAGATAGGGCTTAGGGGTACCCAAGTCCCAACCCCACGTGCATAGCTATAGGGAGTGTGGCCCACAGTTTTAGAACAATAAATGTAATATCTTATAGTTCTACTGCCTTGCTCGTTGATTCCATTTTCTATATAAACACCTCTCACTTTTGAGACAACTAAAAATAGCTGCGCAAGATCGATTCAGAAAATGAAGAAGAAATTAGCAAGCACCATCACTGAGTCCTCTAAACTTGATCGCAAAACCATTGAAAAGAACCGCAGAATTCACATGAAAACCCTCTGCATCCAGCTTGCTTCTCTTATTCCTTCCAACCTCAAACCATCCAAATCCAAGGTGGACATTAATTATATTTTTCTCTGTTTTTATTATTATATTTCTTTCTCTCTCTTCTTTGCCTTGTCTTAACTAATTAATGTTTTCAGTTTATGCACGGACAGCAAGATCAAGTGGATCTGGCAGCGAGGTATATAAAGCACATGAGAGAAAGAGTAGAGAAATTGAAGAGGCAGAAAGAGCAAGCCATGAAGTCAAACTCAAACCAAACAAATAGCAGAAAAGCGTTGAATAATGTCGATTCTAAATTGCCAGTACTTGAGCTAAGAGACTTGGGTTCAGGCATAGAAGTGGTATTGGTAAGTAAGTTGAACAACAAAACCTTCATGTTGTACGAAGTAATTAGTGTCCTTGAGGAAGAAGGCGCTGAGGTTGTCGCTGCAAGCTACTCAACTGTGGGGGAAAAGATATTTTACGTTGTTCATGCTCAGGTACAACAACTATTTAACTCTATCCATGTAATTGTAAAAACAAAACCTATCCATGTACTACATTCTACCGATCATAAATTACTTAAACATTTTCAATTCGGTTTCTTGTTTTATTTCTCAAGCTATATATTTGCACCAGAAGATTGATGCCAGAATTTCACTTCATTTTGATGACTTTTTTTTCCTTTTCTCCCTCGCAGGTTAAAATATCCAGAGTGGGGGTAGAGACCTCAAGGGTATATCAGAGGCTCCAGGAGTTTATTGCTCCACTAGAAAGCTGGGAACACGATTAAAGGCTTGAAAGCAACATCGTTACTGGATAGCTAGCTTTAAATATATATGTAGCCTGCCAACAAATCATTAGAAGGAGGTCTATATTAATAGCAAGCCTGTTAAAAAGGAAGCTTTATATATGTACCAAAATTAATTATATATTAGCTTTTCTTAAAAAAAAGAAAAAGAAAAAACAGAACAGATAGAGAAATACATCTCTGTTTCTCTTCCGCAAATTAAAACTAAAGAATAATGTGTCCTTTTACTCGGGTATTCAGTTTAACAGTCGAGAAAACTGAAAAAGACATCTCCGCATTGAAAAGATCTATAGCAATGTATAAGAACTTTATAAGCGAAGTAAAGACAGAAAAGTGATAAGCGGACACCCCTTTTTTTATAATGCAATAAGAGGTGGAAAAAAATAAATATATATAAAAGAAAAAATGCTTCAAAGCAAAAGCAAAACAATTTAACCTAAGTAAAATTTTGTATTTAAATTTTCATATATGTAAAAAAAAATTTAATATAGACTCACTCACCTTCAAGTGCGTAACTCAAGTTCAGATAAAAATTAAACAAAAAAAAAAAAAAAAAACCAATTTCTACAGTTAAATTAATGATGATGATAACTTTCAAGATGTAAAAATGTAACGGGTTAAAAAAGAAATATGAAAATATATATAATCAAAAGGAAAAGTCGATTATACAACTAGTTTAAAATTAATTTTATTTATATAATAGTTAAATTCAAAACAAGAATATCTGGTGTACTTTAAAATTAGTCCAAGAAAAACTTTGCCTAGAAAAGGAAAACTTATAATCTGTTGCCCTTTCGAAAACCGTAATCGATTACGTATGATCATTCTGAACATGATGCGCCGCCGGAGGTTTACTCCTTAAGTGTATGAACTGAACCTAAAAATTGCGACTTAATTCCATGTATGTGTGACTGGGAAGGCATGCATATGCATATAATTAAGACAAAAGGCAGCACTTAAAAAAAGATTTTGGGACCGCTAAATGGTTGAATTTACAATGACCAAGTTCATGTATGTATATGTAAGATAGCTAAGGGCCATGAACTAGAAAAAGTAACGCAAGGCAAATAATGCCTCTTATAGTCAAATTATCGTTTAATGTAATCACTTTACGTGCGTGAATGTTTGAAATCTTCAAAGTAATAAACTCATTATAGAGATGCATCTATTCGCCTACAGGTAACTCATATGTCATATTCACGCTATAGCAAAATATACTTTTAAGGAAAATGCAGAGTTGAGGGATTTAAAGAGAAATCAAACATTCTCTTAATTTTTAATTTAACAAATTACTGATGTATTTTTTTTTTATAATTTCTCATATGCTTCTACTATTATTTTTAATAAAAAAATTTTATTTTAAATTGTTTAAGATACAAGGTAATAGGACTTTATTTTAATAATTATTACTGATACTCTATTTCTTTCTTTTTTTCGTATAAAACATATATTTTGTATGTTAAAAATGTTCTTGTCAACTCCATAGCGTGATCTTGGAATGAAAATATTAATAATATGTTTTTTTACACTCTTTTTATACACTATTTATTATTAATTAAAATTTATTAAAATAATAAAATTGTATGAAGCTTACTTAACTGCTTCACTTATAATAACTTTTAGTTTCTAATAAATTTCAATCAATAATAAAGAAATATTAAAAAAAATGCTAAAACTAAAGTTTTAAATTGTAGTTATAATCACGAAAAATAGACTTTAAAAGCTTTTATATAATGAAAATTTATAAATAAATGTGATTGATGCACTTGTAATCTCACATTTATTATGGAAACATAAAAACCTTTACACTTAATTTGTTTTATCAGATAAAGTTTTAAACAAATGCTGAGCAAGTAATTTTATAGAAATTTTCTTTTTACATTCGGTATATATGATAAATAAATGGAATAAAAAAATTTAAAATATGCATCTCACAAAAATTTAATCACGTCATCTATGTTAAGAAGATCTCTATTAGAAATTGATACAAATTTCTAGAATAGTTTAGAAAAAATACTAAGAACAATCTAGGAAAAACTAATTGTATCTTCTAGTATGTAGATGCTTCTAGAGAAAGTTCTAAAATATTGTAAATCTTCAAGTTTCTAGATAACTCAAGTATATTGAACCAAATGGTGGATGATGCCTATAAATAGGCATGCTACCTCATTGTAAAAGACATGAAGAAGAAGTAATCAAGACATCAATTCTCCATCTCTTGAGTCTCTTACTAAAACTTCTTCAACTACTATTTTCAACTATTCCTACTAACACATTTCAACTATCTTACTCATCTCACCCACACTAAAAACTATCAGTGGCATCAGAGCTACGTTCGGTCATCTACTGGGCGTAGAAATATTACCATACTATTTCAAAATTAAACTACTTCCAAAAATTTCCTGACCCATGACTAGCACTACTCAACCATCATCTCTTCCCGTCCCCATTTTCAGTGGCGAAAATTATGATTTTTGGAGCACAAAAATGAAAACATATTTCACTTTCCAAGATTTGTGGGATGTTGTGGAAGAAGGATTCACTACTCCCTCAGACATATCATCCCTTACTGCAGCTCAAAGAAAAGAATTGAAGGAGAATAAACAAAAGGATTCAAAGGCCTTGTTTACTCTACAACAAGCTGTGACTGATGCAATTTTTCCAAGAATAATGGGTGCTACAACAGCCAAAGAAGCATGGAGTACGCTGCAGGAGGAGTTTGAAGGAAGCGAAAAGGTACGCGCTATAAAACTCCAAACTCTACGACGAGAGTTTAAATTATTAAAAAGGAAAGAGTTTGAGACCGTCAAGGATTACTATTCCAAAATAAAAGAAATGGTTAATCAAATGAGAGCTTACGGAGAAAATATTCTTGACAAAAAAGTTGTTGAGAAATTACTGATTACAGTTCCTCGTAAGTATGATCCAATTGTCACCACTATTGAGCAAACAAAGGACGTATCTACTCTATCAGTGACAGAGTTGGTAGGGTCTCTTGAAGCTTATGAGCAAAGGTTGAAAAGGCATGATGAGGACTCAATAGAAAATGCCTTTCAATCAAAGCTCAAATTACGGTCTCAGAATAAAGGGAATGAAGCAAGAAAGAATAATGGAGAAACTTCTAAAAACAAAGAGAATTCTAGAAATTTCTCTAGAAACAATCAAGATAAATACCCTCCATGTGGTATTTGTAAGAGGACAAATCATGCTGAAGAAGAATGTCGGTATCGTGGAAAACCACAATGTCGACACTGCAAGAAATTTGGACATCTGGAAAAGTATTGTCGCAACAAAAACAAGTATCAAGCAAATTTCGCTGAAGAGGATGATCGAGAACCACATCTTTTCTATGCTACCCAAGATCCCAGTACTGAAACAAGCGAAAATTGGTACTTGGATAGCGGTTGCAGCAATCACATGGCCAAAGATATAAACATCTTCAAGGATATCGACAAATCCATCAAAGTGAAAGTTTGAATGGAGAACGGTACTATCGCTGAGTCAAAAGGCAAAGGCACTGTTATGGTGGAGACAAAGAAAGGTACGAAACTTATTACTGATGTCTTACTAGTCCCCAACCTCAAGGAAAATCTCTTGAGTATTGGCCAAATGATGGAGAAAGGTTATTCTCTTCACTTCAAAGGGGACACATGTAAGATATATGACAACAAAAAGCAAGAGATTGGCCAAGTAAAGATGGAGAAAAGAAATCGAAGTTTTCCAATAAGCTTTCAACAAGGCACTAATATTGCCATGAAAGCAGAAGTTGATACATCTCGAATTTGGCATCGAAGATTTGGCCACTTCAATACTCATGCCTTAAAACTACTACATCAAAAGAATATGATGAAGGATCTTCCATATCTTGAAGAAAATAATGAAGCTTGTGAAGGATGTCTCCTTGGCAAGCAACATCGATTGCCATTTTCTACTGGAAAAGCTTGGAGAGCAAAAGACTTATTGGAGCTTATTCATACAGATATTTACGGACCAATGCGGATACCATCACTACATGATAACAGGTATTTTATCCTTTTCATCGATGATTTTTCTAGAATGACTTGGGTCTACTTCATCAAAGCAAAGTCAGAAGTCTTTTGGAATTTTCAAAAAGTTTAAGGCCCTTGTCAAGAAGCAAAGTGGTAAACAGATAAAAGTATTAAGAAGTGATTGTGGCAAAGAGTATACATCTCAAGAGTTTGATAAATTCTGTGAGGATGAAAGCATTCAACGACAACTTACTGTCGCATATACTCCACAACAAAATGGAGTAACTGAGAGGAAAAACTGCACGGTAATGGAGATGGCTAGATCCATGCTGAAGGAGAAAGAATTGCCAAATACTTTCTGGGCTGAAGCAGTTTATACTGCTGTCTACATACTTAACAGATGTCCAACTAAGGCTGTCAAAGATAAAACTCCAATTGAAGCTTGGAGTGGGCAAAAACCATCAGCAAAACATCTAAGGGTTTTCGGATCAATTTGCTACATACACATTCCAGAAGAGAAGAGACACAAACTAGAAGACAAAACTGTACGAGGTATCTTCTTGGGATATAGCACACAGTCAAAAGGATATCGAGTCTACAACTTGCAAACCAAGAAGCTCACCATTAGTCGAGATGTTGAAGTTGATGAAAATGCTGCTTGGAATTGGAAAGATGAAAAGGTTCAGAAAAATGTTTCCATACTAATGCAGCAACCTCAAGAAATTGAAGAAGTCTCAGGTGAGAATTTTTCACCTCCATAACAACAACATTCCTCACCAGAGTCTACTCCAAGACGAGTTAGATCTTTGGTAGATATATACGAGACCTGTAACCTGGCCATAACTGAACCTGAGAGCTTTGAAGCAGCGTCAAAACAAGAAGTATGGGTCAAGGCAATGGAAGAAGAGATAAAAATGATTGAGAAAAATAACACATGGGAGCTAGTAGATTGCCCCACAGATAAAGATATCATTAGGGTAAAATGGGTCTATA